GCTATAAATTTGCAATCTCCCAAATTACCAAATCCTCATAACTTCATTTTACTCTCAACAACACTCTACACATTCAATTCTAAAAAAATATTTTTCTGTGATATTCTTGATCAATTTTTTTTATTTTGTATATTTTCATCCATGGCTCCAATTTTTAACAAAGCTGATGGAAACTTCAAAATTCATGTTGATTGTTCAGACATTACCTTGAAAAATTCAAAATTTTTGGTCAATGACCAAATCATCCTTTCTCACGTTCCAAATAATATTAGTGCAACTCCATCACCTTACACCACTAGGGACAAACCAGTAACTTCCACTCCGGGTTGCTTTGTGGGCTTTAAGGCAAATGAAGCCCAAAGCCACCACGTTGTGCCAATTGGGAAACTGAAGGACATCAAGTTTATGAGTATTTTCCGGTTTAAAGTATGGTGGACTACTCATTGGACCGGAACTAATGGAAGAGACCTTGAACATGAGACTCAAATGGTCATTCTTGATAAGTCTGATTCATTAGGCCGGCCTTATGTCTTGCTTCTACCGCTCATTGAAGGCCCCTTCCGGGCTTCTCTCCAGCCCGGAATGGACGATTTCATCGACGTTTGCGTCGAAAGTGGGTCCAGTAAAGTTACCGGAGACTCCTTCCATAGCATACTGTACATGCATGCAGGTAAGTGCATGACAAGCGTATAATTTTGTGAATAAATGTTACGTTTTGGATTCATAAAGATTAAATTCTGAATTTCGAATATGTGGCAGGTGATGATCCGTATAGCTTGGTTAAAGATGCAATTAAAGTAGCTAGGATTCATCTAGGTACTTTTAAGCTCCTTGAGGAAAAAACACCCCCAGGAATTGTGGATAAGTTTGGTTGGTGTACATGGGATGCATTTTACCTTACAGTGCACCCTCAAGGTGTGTGGGAAGGTGTGAAAGGGCTAGTTGATGGTGGGTGTCCACCTGGGCTCGTGTTGATTGATGATGGTTGGCAATCCATTTGTCACGACGATGACCCAATCACCTCAGAAGGTATGATCGATCCTCATTAAATTATTTGATTGACTTATCTAAAAGTCATTAGAGATTTTAAAAAAAATTATATTATGTCTGAACAGGTACAAATAGAACTTCTGCCGGTGAGCAAATGCCGTGTAGGCTTATAAAATTCGAGGAAAATTATAAGTTTAGAGATTATGTGAGTCCTAGAAGTTTGGGCCAGGGTGACCCTAACAATAAGGGCATGGGTGCTTTTATTAAGGACCTTAAGGAGGAGTTCAACACAGTGGACTTTGTGTACGTGTGGCATGCTTTATGTGGGTACTGGGGCGGGTTAAGGCCCGGGGTATCGGATCTACCCGAATCAAAAGTTATTAGACCCAAATTAACTCCTGGATTAGAGAAAACAATGGAAGATTTGGCAGTTGATAAAATTGTGAACAATGGAATTGGGTTGGTCCCACCAGAAATTGCTGAAAAGTTGTACGAGGGTCTACATGCTCACCTAGAATCTGTTGGGATTGATGGAGTCAAAGTCGACGTCATTCACGTAACTACTCGATTTTTTATTAAATTTTTTATACTCTCAGTATATATTAATGATATTAAAAATTGTTTTTTTTTCCTAATGGATGTGCAGTTGCTGGAAATGCTATGTGAGGATTATGGTGGTAGAGTGGATTTGGCTAAGGCTTATTATAAAGCCTTGACAGCTTCAGTAAAGAAACATTTTAATGGAAATGGAGTCATTGCTAGCATGGAACATTGCAATGATTTTATGTTTCTTGGTACTGAGACTATTGCCCTTGGTCGTGTGGGTAAGTTACCAAAAAATTGTATTGGATTTATTTTTCCTATTTTACCCTTTATTATAATTTATATTATATATAAGTACTTTTGCAAAATTAAAACTCACAACATGATACGAGTTGGTGAAACTTTAATTGTTTATTGATTATATATGGTTTTGTATTTGTCGTGTTTTGTAGGTAAGTTGTAATTTATTATACTGATAATTATTAAACTGGGGCAAGTTATAGGAAATAATTTATGATAATTAATTATGACAAGGACACGTATACACAGATTATCGGTCCTAGACAATTCCTAATATAAAGTTGAAATTGTATTGTGAAAATTAAATGGCTTTTGTTTTTTTTTACACTGTGCAGGAGATGACTTTTGGTGCACAGATCCTTCTGGGGATCCAAATGGTACATTTTGGCTACAAGGTTGCCACATGGTGCATTGTGCTTACAATAGCTTGTGGATGGGCAATTTTATTCACCCAGATTGGGACATGTTTCAGTCAACACACCCTTGTGCTGAGTTCCACGCAGCTTCACGAGCTATTTCTGGTGGCCCTATTTACATTAGTGACTCTGTTGGCCAACACAACTTTGACCTACTCAAAACATTGGTGTTGCCTGATGGTTCCATCCTGCGTTGCCAACATTATGCACTTCCCACTCGTGATTGCCTCTTTGAAGATCCACTCCATAATGGAAAAACTATGCTCAAAATTTGGAACCTCAATAAGGTAAGATATCACATTTATATAAATTTATCGGCTATTATTTTGATGGACAGATATACGAGATACTAATTTTTGGTCTTTTTTTAGTATACGGGAGTTGTTGGAGCATTTAATTGTCAAGGTGGAGGGTGGGACCGTGAGGCTAGGCGTAACATTTGTGCTTCTCAGTATTCCAAGGCTGTGACTTGCCAGGCCGGCCCAAAAGATGTTGAGTGGAAGCATGGAACAAGCCCAATTTACGTGGAAAAAATTGAAACCTTTGTGCTCTACTCATTCAAAGAAAAGAAGTTGGTTTTGGTAAAGCCTGCAGACAGGGTCCAAATCACTCTCGAGCCTTTTAATTTCGAGCTTTTAACGGTTTCTCCTGTTACAATTTTGGGAACCAAATCAGTCCAATTTGCTCCAATTGGGCTGGTGAATATGCTCAATACAGGTGGGGCGATTCAGTCGATTGAGTTGGACGATGAATCTAATTCAGTTGAAGTTGAAATAAAAGGCGTTGGCGAAATGAGGATTTTTGCTTCTCAGAAACCAAGCACTTGTAAGATTAATGGAGAAGTTGTCCCATTTGAATATGAGGATTTCATGGTTAAAATTGATGTACCATGGTCCAGTCCTTCTGGTTCATGTGTCATTGAATATTTGTTTTGACATAACTAGCTAATCATGAGCTGGTAAGTTTTACCTATCAACCTCAACTTTTCTATATATAGCCGATCCCAACTTTGTTTGGGGATTAAGAATAACTATTGTTATTTTATGTAACTAGCTAATGTGAGGGGCTTTTCCTAGTTTTTGTATTTGCCCCATTTTTCATTAAAGTCACATATGACTTTATACATGTATACCTCAAGTGTGTTGTGAGGATGAAATGTACTAGTAAATAAGCTTTGTATATACATATATAGTCTCTCTTTTTTTTTTTAATTAGTAGTATATTAGGATGATACAAAATTAATCACAACAAATATTATCGTATTTATTTGAGCACATTAAATCTAATTATTTCAATAAAATTGCAACTATCAATTTTGTTTATGTAAAAAGGAGCCACACACACCCCACCCTAGCTATCCCCACAGTACAAGCCCGTTTCATAATAGGCCCACAATTAGAATCCGGATCCGGAAACAATGCAAAGCTTCAATTTCATATCTACAAGTAGTCGTTCAATCAACTACGCTTCTTTCACAAATTTGTGAACAATTTTTGTTTACATGATATAAACACATTCATCACAATATTAATTTGAATAGATTGTATATATGTAATTTTTCAGAAAGTAACTAATTCGTAGTTAATACAATGTGAATAAGGAAATAAACATGTCAATTTAACAAGTGCATAAGAAATTATCAATTTCTTTTTATGAACATTTAAATTTAAATAATGTTATATTAAGATTTTGTTTCATTTATGAACTCTAAACATATGCGAGAATAATCCACCAGCGAATTGCAGCGGGAGTTTTTTGGGAGTGTTTTTCCCCTACATTGAGCATGTTGCCTTTTGGTTAATTTTTATTTTATTTATTTAAAGGAGAAAACATAGAATTACTTAGGATAAAACCAGAATTTTTTTTTTTTTTTTTTCTCTCACCATATATTTAAGATTTCTTTCATTATTAATGAATTTTAATTTTAAAACACTGAAATTGTCAAAGCTAACTATGTTGACTAAAATTTTTGGGATTACTACGGTCTACGATTATATTACTAAAAATGACGGTGCAGCAGTGCTAGGACTCTTATTATTGTTTACTTTGCCAAAAATACTTCAATTCAAAGGATTTGATATTGGGTATTACACGAATTCTTCTCATAAACAAATTCTAATCCTTAAAATATGGAAGAAAAACCTAATGACAAAATATCATACAAATTTTAACACTAAAAATAAAGGAAAATTAAGAATTCTAATCCGTAAAATATGGAAGAAATTTAGTGTAATTAGTACTTCAATCCTTTTAGGTTTATATCTACACTTCAATCCTTTTAGGTTTATATATACACTTAGCCCTAAACCACATAGCAGCAATATTAAATCATACTTGAAAACCTCTTATTCTCTTCAGCTTCGCCAGTATGGTAACGGTAATGGGAACTCACATTCCAGAGGAGGGAATATTTATTGACATTCTCACTAAACTTCCTGTTAAGTCTCTTTTTCGTTTTAAATGTGTATCGAAATCTTGGAAGACATTATTAACTGAGCCTTACTTTAAGAAGAAGCATCACAATCATGCCAAAAATCAACTTGATTCCCAAAAATTGCTTATTTTTATTGGGGGTAAAATTTTAAATTTCTACTGCACTTCTTTATCCCCAAATCGACTACTTGTTAATGATATACATACAGTTCCAAAACCACCATTCAGTCATTATAAAATGTATTGTTGTTGCGATGCCTTGTTTCTCATCGGGATTTGGACCGGACTTTCTCGGGACCATCCTACAATGCTATTGCTATGGAACCCCACTACGTCAGAATCAATAGTACTTCCCCTTTAGGATCGCCAGAACAGGAATCAACTTATGGATTGGGATATGACTCGACTAGTGATGATTATAAAGTCCTTAGGATTGACAAGGACGGCACTGCACTAGATGAAATTGTAGCACTAAAAAATGGTTCCTGGAGAAAAATTTATTCGCCCTCAGTTGGGCCTGTAGGCGATGTTTCCATTTTGTATGGTAAGGAATGTTTGCCCTTTGTAAATGGAGCGTTTCACTGGCTTGGTATTGATTCTTCTGATACACAATCCATGATGTCGTTAAATATTTCAGATGAGACATATAAGAGAATACCCTTATCAAAAAATATGCCTTTATACCCGGAAAGTGTGACTATTGAAGAGGGCATATCTGTGTTGGGAAGTATGATTTGTCTTTTTAACCATAACGATATCACTTTCAATTTATGGATAATGAAAGAGTATGGTGTTCAGGAATCTTGGATAAAGTTACTCACATTACCAACTAATGGAACATTTTCAATTATACCTATATATAGCTTTTCCGATGGCAAAGTGCTACTTCAATACGAATGCCGAGATGAATTACGAGGAATTAAGGTTATTTATAGAACATGTGACGATCGAATATGGTCTTTTGATATTGATCCACTTTCCTTTATCCTGAATGGTTTTGTTTATATGGAAAGTTTAATCAATCCAAGAGAGATTGATGCATATCTGATTCATAAACAAACAGACTTGACATTTCTTAAAAAGCGAAAAAGAGAGGATTTGCTCTAATAGATTGATTGTATACTTCTTTTATAAATAATAGTTTCGCCTAGCCACCCTTATTTAGTTTGGGATACTACCATTACTTAGTACTAGAACTTTAATTCCTATGTAGCTTTATTTTGTGCCCTCTCATCCTATTCTTTTTCACCTAGCTATTTTCATATTGATGTTAATTTGGCACGCCAATATGCATTGTTGATACAACTATATATAAGTGATCGATTGGATTGTTTTTTAAATTATAGCGAATTCGTCTTGTCTAAATTATTCAAAAATGAAAAAAGGAGTATTAATTTTATTCTTAGTTTTCAACGAATCCTCGTTCAATTAGTTTGATAATTTTTTAAAAAGAATGTTGAAATACAAGATAATTTTGTCAATCTTGGCACGAAGTTTGATGTCAAGTAGGCTACTTACAAGAGTAGCCAGCAGCTTGCTAATAGCTATAGTAATTTTTTCAAAATGATTTTTCACTTTAATATAATTTATGCATATATTCTAAAGAATATTTCATTGCGATTTTAAATTAGAAATTATGTTGTACAAAAAGTTAACACTAATGCATTTTTTAATGCTAATTCTTATAAGTTATAGGCAATTATAGGCTTAAGAAATTGACGTTTTTATCTTCCAGTAAGATTCAATCCAACAAAAAATTATATCAAAGTAATTCAACAATAAAGAATCACATTAATTAATTAAAAAGAAATGAAAAGTTTTTCAACGAAAACAAATCAATTATGGAACTCAATTTTTTTTTTGACATAACTCCATTTTTTTGACAATATTGATACGAATTCATTAATTTTCTAGCATAGCTTTAGCCTTTATTTATCTTTGTTTGCAATAAATTTTAAAATGATAGAAAATAAATTCCAATCTCAATAAAATATGATGAAACATAACTTTAATGATAAACTTTGTGGGTACAAATTTATTTACTATCTCTTAATTTTCGCTCATAAGATTTCTCATTAAAAACAGCAATATGTCAAAGGGTTCTCACCCCTTTGATGTGATTTTCTCATCTAACTTACTTCACGTGCAATGATAATAGCACGGGCAAATCCCACGAATGCAAAGCCCAGTTAAATTCGACTAGGCCCGTTTCAGAATAGGCCCACAATTAGGATCCGGATACGGATCCAAAATGTCCACCGGCCAAACTGAGAAGCGACAAATGATTTTTTCTGAAACAACGCAAAGCTTCAATTTCATATCTACAAGTAGTGATTCAATCAAGTAAGCTTCTTTCACAATTTTTGTTTACATGATATAGATGAATTCATCGCACTACATGGATAAGCAGATCATGGATCTATCGAATTCACAGAACAGCAGCAACAACAATGACTTCATCGATCTCGTTAACCCTCAGGCGGATCATCACATTAGCGGCGGCGATCAGAAGAATGAAGATATTGTTCCCAGTTATGAATTTCATCCAATTCGCCCAATTGGATCTTCATCGCCTAAATCTAACATTGATTCTAGTAATGTTGGCGTAGCTAGGGCTTGGAATTCTGCTGATTCCAAAAACAATACTGAGAGTAATATCAGAGTAAACTTCTTCACCTATCTCTCTTTGCATGCATACATGTTTTTTTTTAATACCTATAATCTAGGCGGATCTAAGAAATGCGGGCAGAAATATATATATTTCAATTTGTTCGACTCGATGCCACCATATTAACAATTCATGTACATATCCATGATCATTCTCTCCCATAGCTGATTAATTAGGTTAAGGAAAATATTAGGCGACCCTAATTTGGAATAAACACTCCTTTCAGTTGAGATTTTCTTATTTTGTTCTCACTTCTATGCAGAATTATGGTTCTCTTGACACAATTGATCCTACCAAGGTTATTGTGGAGAAAGATTTGGGCAGTGTTTATTCATCTCTATTATCAGAAATTGATCATACAGTTAAGAAGTATGCTGATAATCTTCTACATGCAGTGGAGGGAGTGAGTGCTCGCCTATCACAGTTGGAGACTAGAAATCGCCAGATTGATAACTCTGTTGATGAACTCAAGTTGTCCGTTGGTAACAGCCATGGTGTCACCGATGGAAAATTGAGACAGCTAGAAAATATTCTTAGAGAGGTACCCTTAGATCTTAGATTTATCAACTTGTCCTTCAATTAATCTGCTCTTGGTTTGACACTAGAATGAAATCAAGTAAACTACTCTAGAGTTGTGTAGCCGTAGGCTGCATCTATGTTTCTTTCCTTGTTGACTAGGTGTAAGTGTAACTCTTCTTTTTAGCATTTTTCCAGTTATCATCCTTAGAATGAAAAGTATAAAATAATTTCCCCTTTTATCCTTGTTTGAAGTCCATGGTTGCTCTTGACTTCTTTATGTATTACTTCGTTCCCTATCTATTTTGAACTACTACACAGGGTAATGAAGTTGTAGTTCTGAAATATACACAGTGAGAAAAGTTTCTTCATAGGCTTGTCTCTTTGTGTAATGACTTGCAAGGACATTTCGGACACCTTAATCCATCTGTATATCTAAACCTGTTAGATGTCAGAGAACCTTGATGCAACTCAATGTAATGCTAGGAAAAGTGAGGTGCTCATTAAGGGACTGCATCTGATTAACTACTTGAGTTCCATAGAGAGGTTATAAATCGTTCTATATTTGCTTCATATGACAATTTCAGTTCTAAAACTGTGTTTTGCCATTTATATCCTCACTATGCTTTCTCCTCTGTGATATCAATTCACCCTGGCTTGTAGTGGTAAAATCACTTTGATGTTTTCGTTAAAAACTCATTTATAAATTTTTTGGAAATTGTATGCATCATGTTTATGTCATTCTGGTGTTGTGGTGAATTGCATTGTCATAAAGCTGACTGGTGATTTCTTGGAGAGATATAATTTTGCCTGTCTTATCTGCTTTGCCCCTGAGAAAGATGAAAATATGATCTAATAGAAAAAGGATACCATTTTAAATTTAATCATACATTTTATGTCTTCTTTTCCTTTTTTGTATTATTATGATGGGTGGTTATTGATTAAGGATGAATATCTTAAATTAAGTGTGGTGGTTTTACATCTTCTTTCTTCCTTCCCTTTTTCCTCCTTTTGGTGTTCATGATTTTATTTTTTTTACTTGTTTTCTCAAATTGTCATGTAGGTGCAAGATGGTGTTCAGGTGATAAGAGATAAACAGGAAATAATGGATGCTCAGTTGCAGCTCATGAAATCACAAGCTCCAAAGATTGAGCAGCAAGCAGAAACCCATAGTACTACACATACAGATTCATCCCAATCTACAACACCTGCTCCTCTTCATTCTCACCAGCAATTTCCTCCTGTTGCTCTTACACAACCACCTTCTACCCTAGCTCCTCCACCCCATCCTCAACAGAATCTGCCATACCAAGTTCAGCTTCAGAACCAGTTTCCCCAGAATCCAATTCCCTCCCATCCTCAGCCAGAAGCTTATTACCCACCAGCTGGTCAAGCACCAGAAAACTTAAGTCATCAGTACCAACCGCCTGTAGCACAGCAGCATCAACCTACCCCACCACCTCCACATCAACAACATCAGTCCACCCATCAGCCAATCTACTCTCAGCCACCTCCACCTCCACCTGCTCAACCACATCTCCCTCATCCCTCGCAACCTCAACCTCAACCTCTAGTAGGCCATCATCGTGAAGAGACACCTTTTGTACCATCCCAGACTTATCCACCGCCAAGCATCCGCCAACCTCCTCATTCATCTAGTGGAGCCCCTCCATCACAGCAGTTATATGGAACTCCCCCCAATATATTTGAGCCCCCATCTAGTAGACCTGGTCTCGGATATTCTGGTGTATATGGACCATCCTCTGTGCCTGGTGAACCTTATCCTTATAGCAGTTCCCCAGGCCAGTATGGCAGTGGCTCTTCAATGAAACCACTACAAGTTTCCCTACCTACTATGGGCCAGAGTGGTTCGAGTGGCTATCAGCAGCTCCCCACTGCAAGGATATTACCTCAAGCACTTCCAACTGCTTCTGCTGTTTCTGGTGGGTCTAGTTCTCCCGGTACTGGTAATAGGGTTCCTATTGATGATGTTGTTGACAAAGTTACAAACATGGGGTTTCCAAGAGACCAAGTAAGGGCAACAGTTCGGAGGTTGACTGAGAGTGGACAAACAGTGGATTTGAATACGGTGTTGGACAAGTTGATGAATGATGGTGAAGTTCAGCCACCACGAGGTTGGCTTGGTCGGTAGTATGGTTCATCTTGTTCAAGTTCTTGTACAGAAATTCTTGAGTTTCGAAGTCTAAATTTTTTACTATGCTTGGATTTAAGCGACATTCTTTACTGGTTTAGCGCTTTGTTTTTCTGTCCGTCCTGAAACTTCATACTTGTTCTTTCTCACTAGATAGAGATTTGTTAATGTGACATTTCCCTTTGTTTTGCATTTCCTTTCTTTTATTCTCTTTTACAGCATGATTGGAGACATGTAATTTTGCATTTGCTTGATCAGTTTTTGTGCTTTACCAAGCCTCCCTTGTGTATTTTGCTTCTCTTTTTCTGTTCTTTCTTTTTGTCAGTTCCTGCATAAACTTATGGTGTATGGATAATAGGTCAATATTTTAGTTCATTATGTGAATCTTTTTTTTCTGCCAACCAAGTGGATTAGATTTATGAAAAGATAAAGTTCCTAATGTGAATTGTTTAGTACTATGATTAGAAAGAAAACCATTTTATTTGCAAATTAACTTAATCTTCCTCCATTTGCAATGTGTAGTAAAGAAATTGTTACATTCTTTATAATTATCACTCTTGAGTGGGACTAATTTATTTTATATTAATACTTGTATTTTTCTTTTGGGGTAAATACCTGTTTAGTAGCATATGTTCATTCAACGCAATCTTTAAAAGGCATTACAATAAATAGGACTTCGAATTTCTTATATAATAAATACAGTAATATTTTTATTCACACGTTACCTTATCAAAAATAAAAATATAGATTTATTAACCAAAAAGTCCAAAT